GTCTCAGTCCTGGTCTGGTCCTGGTCTCAGTTTTGATCACACTACAGTCTACGTGGGCGAACCTCCAGGCCCGTCCCAGTACTCAGCCCTTGTTCAGTCCTGGTTTAGTCCTGGTTCAGTCCTGGTTTTAGACCTGGTTTTAGACCTGGTTTAGACCTGGTTTTAGTCCTAGTTTAATCCTGGTTTAGACCTGGTTTTAGACCTGGTTTAGTCCTGGTTTAGACCTGGTTTAGACCTGGTTTTAGACCTGTTTTAGACCTGGTTTTAGACCTGGTTCAGTCCTGGTTTAGACCTGGTTTAGACCTGGTTTAGTCCTGGTTTAGACCTGGTTTAGACCTGGTTTTAGTCCTGGTTTAGACCTGGTTTTAGACCTGTTTTAGACCTGGTTTTAGACCTGGTTTTAGACCTGGTTTAGTCCTGGTTAAGTCCTGGTTCAGTCCTGGTTTTAGACCTGGTTTTAGTCCTGGTTTAGATCTGGTTTAGACCCGGTTTTAGGTCAAGTTTAGACCTGGTTTAATCCTGGTTTAGCCCAAAATGTGAAAACAGTTAAATCCCTCTGTGTAATCCATTTATTTCAACAAAGTAACTGTAATCCAATTACCACTCACTGAAACAGTAACTGTAACTGAATACAGTTACTCATCATTTGTACTCTGATTACTCTGAACTCTGGTACATGTAATCTGTTACTCCCCAACACTGGTAGTGGACATTTAATTCATCAAAACAAATACGTTATAACTCAGAAAAGCCTTTTAACTCTACTTTTCTTCGTGCGACTTCACTTTTTTGAAGCGTCTGGATTTCGTTTCGTCGATGATTATTTGTGTTTGATGTAAACCGCCGGGCGAGTCACAGACTTTATTGTAAAATTGGCCTTGAGAGCGTAAACGTTTGCGTGGGAGTGAGGGGTCAGAGGTCGGGCTGAGGGAAATGAAACGCACGCGGCAGTTTTTCGTTTTAAATAGGCTCGATTTTATTTTTGAGAAAGTCGAACTGTAGAGACGTTTGTGTAATTCAACAGTTTAACACGGAGCTCTCAGGTCATCCGTCTTATATAACCGTCTTTAATGATATTATTCTCTGACTTTTAACACCGCGTGAGTCATGTCTTTTATTTTATTTATTTACTTATTGTTTTTATCTATTTTTTTTTCATACTACTTTTATGTATTGATTTTATTTTATTTTATTTATTGATTTTATTATTATTATTTAATTTATTCTATTAGTTTCCTTATGGTTGAAACATAATTCTGCAGATTTTTTATTTTTTATTTTTTTTCTGTGTGAAGCACTTTGGAAACTGTTTTGTTTATAAAATGTGCTATACAAAGAAAGTTGGACTGGACTGGATATATTTTCATTGTTCTGAGGCTTGTGTGTTTGTGTAAAGAATAACAAAGGACCAGGGAACGACCCCTGAGGTTCTCCAGAGTAAACATCGCCCCATATGTTTGGACTTGGATTATTTTCCCTGAATTATATAATTTAAATTCGCCAAACTCATCCATAACCATTTTTTTAAACTAATTTTGAAACATCTGTTTGAAGAAATTTATAGAAATTAGTATTATCTGATTAGCTTTAAATAAGACAATAAGATCAATTTGATATTGAAATGAATTTGTTCTGTTTTTCACATTTTTAAGACATGAGGGTGCAAATTCAGTGGAGTGTGGTTTGGTTTGAACAGGCATTCATCTGATTCTATTCATGGGTTTCAGTACATAGACTGTATAAAGAACTGGACTAAGTGAGCGTGTTGACACCCGCAGCATCTGGCTCCAGTCAAATGAAGCTCATTGAGCCTTGCAGTTATAGGTGTGAATTTGAAGCCAATTCCATATTAACAACAAAATTAGCAAAATAAAAGCATGAGGATCACGTAAAGTGGGTTAATATGAACATTTTAAGCCCAAAATGAAGAGTCTGACAGCAGTTACAGAGAGAGAGGTCATCATTTTTCAAGCGTGAAGTAAATTGGAGCCAAAGTCGATGGAGCCAGAAGCGTGTCCGTGCTCACTTCCTATTTGGAAAATGACAGCTAGAGGTTTATCTTTTTTTCTTTCTTTTTTTTGAGCATATTTGTTTTTTTGTTTTTTTTAAAGCATATTTAACCATACAACTTTTGTCACCTTTTTTTTTTTCTTTCTTTTTTTTTTTTTTTTTTTTTAGCATATTTAACCATACAACTTTTGTCACCTTGTTTTTTTTTTTTTTTTTTTTTTAAGCATATTTAACCATACAACTTTTGTCACCTTGTTTTTTTTTTTTCTTTCTTTTTTTTTTAAATTGTTTTTTTAGCATATTTAACCAGACATTTTACATTAGATCATATGAATTATTTACAAGTGAGGAGACTGAGTGATAAGTGAGCTACTGTGTCCAAATATTTATTTATTTATTTTTGCCTGAAGTAAGTTTTGAGTTTTTAAATAACAATTAATGTTTTTTTTTGTTTTTTTTTTTTTTTTTATCACTCTGAAACTATTTTCCCAGCCCAGGTTTATTGTCTCAGCAGAATCTCTTGAGATCAAAATAAATCCTCTGTTTACTGTCTGCGTCTAATTATAAAACACTTTACTGTCCAACAGACAAGTGCACGTTAGCATGCTAGTTGTTGTCTCTGAAAGTTGTCATGGAGAATAATTGGGATGTTCTCTCAAACTTATGTGAGTTATTGTGTTTTTGAGGTTGTAATTCTATGAAACTTTGGTGCTTTTGTTTTTCTTTTTTTTTTGTAGAATAAAAGAGTGAGAGAAAAGGAGCGATGAAAACACGTCTCGACTCGTCATGTCCCACCACCTCCGACACAACGGAGAGACTGTGAAGAGAAGGAAAGAGAGAGAGAGAGAGGGAGAAAGAGAGGGAGAGGGAGAGAGAGGGGAAAGAAAGGGAGAAAGAGAGAGAGTGAGACAGACACAGAGGGACGGAAAGAGAGAGAGAAAGAGGGAGAGAGAGGGAAAAAGGGAAGGAGAGTGGGAGGGAGAAAAAGAGAGGGAGGGGGAGAGAACTGAGAGACTATGAAGAGAGGGAGGGAGGGAGAAAGAGAAGGAGGGAGAGAGAGAGAGGGAGGGACAGGAAGAGAGGGAAGGGAGAGAGGAAGAGAGGGAGGGAGAGAAGAGGGAAAGAGAGCGAGAGGGAGGGAGAAAGAGAGAGAGAGGGAGAGAGAACTGAGAGATTGTGAAGAGAGGGAGGGAAGGAGGGAGGGAGAGAGAAAGGGAGAAAGAGAAGGAGGGAGAGAGAGGGAGAGAGCTAATAAGCTGTGAATAGAGGGAGGGAGAAGGAGGGAGAGAGGGAGGGAGAAAGAGAGAGAGAAAGAGAGCTGAGACTTAGCTGAGAGCCTGTGAAGAGAGGGAGGAAGGGAGGAAGGGAGAGAGGGAGAGCTGAGAGGCTGTGAAGGGATGAAGGGAGAAGGAGGGGAGGGAGAGACACAGAGAGGGAGGCAGAGGAGAGAGAAAGAGGGAGACAGAGAGAAAGGGAAAGAGAGAGAGAAAGAAGAGAGAGGAGAGAAAAACAGGGAGAGAGGAAGAAAGAGAGAGCGTGAGACAGAGAGAGAGAGAAAGAGAGGAGAGAGAGAGAGAGGAAGAGAGAAAGACAGAGAGTGTGAGATAGAGAGAGAAAAAGAGCGAGACAGAGAGGGCGAGCGAGACAGAGGAAGACAAAGAAAGAAAGAAAAAAGGGAGAGTGGGAGACAGAAAGAGAAAGAGAGAGTGAGACAGACACATAGGAAGGGAAAGAGAGAGAGAAGAGGGAGGGAAGGAGGGAGACAAAAAAGAGAGAATGAGATGAGAGAAACAGAGGAGTTGATGGACAGAGCGAGAGAAAAACAAAAAGAAAGGATAAGGAAGGATAAGAGAACAGAGAGAGAGACGAGCGAGTGAAAGAAGGAGTGAGAGAAGGTGATCATCTGAAGAGTGACAGATCCATTCATGATTAAAGATCTTCATTAAATTCAAGAATATTAACTCAGAATATTAACCCTGTTGTGGCTCAGTTGTGAATTATTGATTTGTTTTAATTGTTCATTTAATAATTTATTGATTCGATTTTTTTTTTTTTTTTTTCACTGAAACTAATATTTGTGTTTTTAGTGACGGGAGAAACACGACGTCAGAACTTTTTCTTGTTCCATTTTGATATTGTTGATTTTTATTTTTTTTTTTCAAACTAAGACTCATTTTCTGAAATCAAATTTTTTCTTTTTTTTGCCTTTTTTTTTTTTTTTTGGAGCATATTTAACCATACAACTTGTCACCTTTTTTAATTTTTTTAAGTGTATTTTATTTTTTTTAGCATATTTAACCATACATCTTGTTACCTTGTTTATTTATTTATTTTATTTTATTTTATTTTTTTTTGAGCATATTTAACCATACAACTTGTCGCCTTGTTTTTTTTAAATTTGATTTATTTATTTTTTTGAGCATATTTAACCATACAACTTATCACCTTTTTTTTTTTTTTTTTGGTGCATATTTAACCATAAACCTTGTCGCCTTGTATTTTTAAATTTTTTGTTATTATTATTTTTTTAAGCATATTTAACCATACATCTTGTTGCTTTTTGTTTTTTTTTTTTTTTTTTTTGTTTGTTTGATTTTTTGGAGCATATTTAACCATACACCTTGTTGCCTTGTATATTTTTTTTTTTTTCTTTTTTTTTTTTTTTTTTAAATAGCCTTGTTTTTTTTTTCCTTACATTTTTTAAAAATTAATTATTATATATTTTTTTTGCATATTTAACCATACAACTTGTCGCCTTTGTTTTTTTTTTTTCTTTCTTTTTTTTTTTTTTTTAAATAGCCTTGTTTTTTTTTCTTTTGGCATATTTAACCATACAGCTTGACGCCTTGTTTTTTGTTTTTTTTTGTTTTTTTTTTTTTCATTTTTTGGGGGTCGGGGCTGTGACTGTGATGATGAAGGTGGTGATGAAGGTGGTGATGAAGGTGACGATGAGGAGCAGAGGGCGTCCCGGGAGCGTGGTGGGTACGTACCGGGGAAGGTGGGGTGACTCTGCCCAAGGGGGGGGAGGGGGAGGTGCTGCAAGGCCAACTGCTGAAGCTTGGTGAACTGCAGGGTAGGAAGGACGTTAGAGCTAACCAATCAAAACAGGATTATTTCAGAAAGGAAAGAGAAAAAGAAAGAACGAGAAAGAACTACAGACGACAAACACAGACAGGACACGGGTCAGTGAGTGAGTTCACAGGCGCTCGAGTCTCCTGGTTCTGATCAGGTTTTTTGAAAATGGTTTAGTCCTGGTTTAGTCCTGGTCTAAAAATGGTTTAAAATGCGCTGCGGGACTATTGCGCCGCGTACGGACTGCCAGGACTGAACCAGGATTGAATCAGGACTAAACCAGGACTAAACCGTTTTCAGTCCTGGTCTAGTCCCAGTCTCAGTCCCGGTCTGGTCCCGGTATCACGGTTTGGTCCTGGTCTGGTCCCGGTCTCAGTCCCAGTCTCAGTCCTGGTCCTGTTCCTGGTCTCGATCCTGGTCTCAGTCCCGGTCTGGTCCCTCGTTTAGTCCTGTTTAGTCCTGGTTCAGTCCTGGTTCAGTCCGGAATCGCAAATAATGAAGAAAATTGTTTTTTTCGTTTTCTTATTTTTAGTTTTATATTAAAAAACAAGGTTCTTCTTCTGCCGCATTTTTCACTTTGACTTTGATTTTATTACGACTTCATTCTTGTAATATTATAACTTTATTCTCATAATATTACGATTTTATTTTAACTTCAACTTTATTCTCGTAAAATTGCGACTTTTTCTGGCTTCGACTTTATTCTCATAATATTACGACTTTAATGTGGAAATGTTACGACTTTATTCTCAAAGCGCCAGCATCATTTTATTTATTTATTTTTTCTTAAATCTGACCCTTATTACTCCGTCGTAGAAACCTGTTAAAGAGCCTTAAGTTAAGTTATGAGTCTCCTGGTTTCTCTGAGCGCAGGTAAACACCACAAACAGAACCGGGATCAGACTCAGAACTGACAGACTCTTGCTCATGTGAACAAACTCAGTGACAATAACAAAGTTGGATTTTTCCTTTTCCAGACAGAAACAGGCTCACACAGGCCGAGTCCTCGCACCGCTGTCTCTGCACGCTGAGGTTTGGTCTGGTGAGAACACAGTCATCATACAGTGAACTCAGTGCTCTTTTACTCCTACTTTTCAGTGACATCAGACCGGGGGCGTTCTGCGTGTCCTCGCACAAATGTTCACGTCAAATGAAGTTCGAGCGTGTGGTTTATGGTGGAGAACACGCAGCAGTAGTATTTAAGTCCACAGGTTTTAGATAATTTTCAGGTTGACTGGAGAAAATGGCGGGGGGAAGGTGGTTCGCCAACTGTATCGTAAGTATAGAGGCTTTGCACCGTCACGTGTCACCATGGCGACGGTAATTACACCTCCATGACACCGGGCAACACTGTGTCATCTGAGAAACATGGGCAGGTTTTGTTGTGTATTTGGTTGTTCTAGAAGCTCTGAAAGGGATAAAAAGATTCGTTTCTTCACTGTTCCTCTGGAAATGACTCATCAGGATCAAACAAGGGAAAAGACGTGGATTATGTCTCGAGAACATAAACCGCGAAGAGATTTCCAATGGTCCCATCAAGACACACGAAGTTTCATCAAGGTATTTGTTATTTAAATTGTTTCATAGTTTATTTAATGAAAGAAGCACATTTACTGAACTAAAATGTCATTAATTTATCCAGGAAAACCTGCACTAGTTTATGATTCAACGAACCCACACTGGGCTCCTGTGATCAACATGACGCACGAGTCGAAGAGTCTGTGAGCCGAACCTCGAAAGAATCGACCATGAAAAGATCCTCGCGAACGTTAGAAAGATCCGCTCACAAAAAGAGATTAATTCTAGAAGACATAGTTGTGGATAAACGAGACAATAAATAAAACATGGTCCTACGACGAGTGACATGTTTATATGTGCTGGAAGATCCAGTTTCTACTGCCACTCACACTGCAAATGTTTTCTTTTTACATTTTAGTTCAGTAAATGTGCTTCTCTCATTAAATAAACTATGATCAATTTTAAATAACAAATACCTTGATGAAACTTCGAGGTGTCTTGATGGTACAATAGGAAATATCTTTGTAGTTTATGTTTCTAGACATAATTCCCGTAATTTTTTTTGATAATTCCCTTGTTTGATCCTGATGAGTCATTTCCATTGGAACAGTGAAGAAACGATTCGTTTCATCCCTTTCAGAGCGTCTAGAACAGGGGTCTCAGACTCGCGGCCCGGGGGCCAACTGCGGCCCGCGGAAGGATTTTTTGCGGCCCTCCACTTGATTCCAAAGAATAATGTCAGTGCGGCCCGCGGTAGATGTACGCACAATCCCACCCCCCGACCGCGGGCCGCACTGACAGATGAAGCTGCAATCGGTGCCCATGCAGATTCACAACAGATTATTAACGCAGTTTACATCCCAAAACTCAACTTACAGCAGTTGTGAAGCAACGAGTCTAAGTGGATCTGTTAATACAAGTACACGTGCACATACGGCGTCACCGAAGAACCTAAACAAACCACACATGGTGGTACACGTGTGCGCACTTCACTTTATGCTCCCACAACCACAGCATCAGAGCGCAGAGGAGGCGCTGACAGAATCCCCCTGTTCATAAGTATGGGACCTTTATTGGAGGGGCTAATAAGAAATAAAAAGACATTGACAGTCTGTTTACCTGTTCAACACTCGGTGCGTAACTTGCTGGCAACTCGATGACCAAGCTCCACCTGTGCGTCGCCGAAATCCACGCGCACTCAGCGGCAAACACAGCTGTCCCATCAATATGCAAGCACCACAAAACTGCAGTGATCTATTCCAGAGGCTTGGCGACATGTTAGCAAAAAGTACGAGGCAAAAACAAGCGTCTTCCATCCATGTTTGACATACGAGAAGCAGATACACTCCAGTGTGGCGCTTTCACACCGGCAAACGAAACCAAAACTGGTCCGATTAACGAGCCTCTGTATCCCGGTAGAACAGCGATATCTCCAGTAACCAATACTGATGTTCCCTGTTAATACCGCGGGCGTCCTCATCTTATCACCATGAACTCATAAAACAGCAACGTAGAACTTTGTACAAACTCACCGCATCAGCCCAGAGTTCGGGTAACAGCAGCAGCCAACAGCTCCTCAGGACGGGGCTGGGGTCTGGTCCTTGGTCTTCTGTCGTCCTACAAGCGCGTTGGTCAGATGGTCCGGAGGCTCCATCCTCCATGTGCTGGTTCCAGACGGTGGCGAGCAAGACCAGTGCGCAATGACTGGGTCTGAGCGGGTACGTTCCGCCGTCTGCGCGCTGGTTCCGTGTTCCGTGCGGGGAAAGTGAGAATGCGCTGCTCCTGTCCTCCGCGCTCAAGAACCGCGGCTGGTTCCGAGGTGGTGCAAAAGCATCCGGACAGAACGTGAATCCAGTTTAGTTGGTGTCCGCATTTGGTTCTTCCCGGGAAAAAGCGCTTTTCACTCCCCGCTCCACGTCATCTGAGCCCGGACAGAACCGGAGCTGCTCCCGCTGGTTCGGGACTCTGGTTTGGATCTAGTCCGACTGTATTTTTCACACTAGGCTAAAAGCAGGACATTTTTTAAAGGTGAATCAATCGAATGGGCGATTGCCTATTGCCATAAAATTACTTGGTTAATTAAAGCCTGAAATAACAAATGCTGGTTCCTACATGATCACGGGGAACACCGGGACCTCTGTGCAGGTCCTGAACAGAAGTACACTCCCCATTTTTGACTCACTCTGGAGCCACACGTTCGCACGTACTTGCTTTGATCTTCGTGTATTACATTCTCTGTATTGGCCATTGTTGGTAAAATATTTCGAAAATGAATCGCGGCTGCGTCTGGACAACAATCTGTTACTGCGCTGGAGTCGTACAGCGCGAGTCATTACAGGCAGGAGACGCGTTTCTCCCATGATGCATCTAGAATAGTTCGTTTGGACCTGCTGTCTGTGGTTTGGACCCGGGTTCGCGTTCACACCAGAGGAACCGCACCAAAGTTGGTCATTTGGTGCGGATTCAAGCGAACCGAGACCACCTCTTTTTTGAGGTCTCGGTCCACTTGAGTTGGTCCGGGTCAGAGTCCGATTGACGCTTTCACACCAACGCAAACGAACCGAACTAACCACTTCTGGTTCGAATGGATCGTTTGGTGCGCACCAAATACTGTCGGTGTGAAAGCACCTAATACAGGTCAAGGCTCACTGATGAGCATCTTCAATCTATCCTGAGGATCTGCTTCCTCCTGCAAGCCAAATATCTCTCAGCTGTACAAGATGAATCGTAGCCAGGTTTCAACCAGCAAGAAGTAGGCAAAAGAAGAAGAGTAGACGTATTAGTTTAAACTTACGTTCTGAATACATTTTCATGTTCTGAACTGTTATTAAAGATTAAGAAAGTGTGTTGCGTGTTGTTCTTTCTCTCTCCTTTTTTTCCGTGCAACCGCTATTTATCGAATACTCAATGCGGCCCAGCCTCACTCAGACTTTATCTAATGTGGCCCCCAGGTAATTTGAGTTTGAGACCCCTGGTCTAGAACAACCAAATACACAACAAAACCTGCCCATGTTTCTCCGATGCTGCTGAAGTCAATGACATAGTGTGCCTGGTGTCATGGCGGCGTAAGTACCGTTGCTGTAGGGTCACGTGACGGTGCAAAGCCTCTATAAGAATGGTCATATATCCTAACCCCCTAACGTTTTGGCGGTGAATTACTTGGCGGTGCACAGACCTCGAGTCTCACTTTTGCATCGCTTAGTCATAACATAAAGTCTCACCAGTCTGACCAGCTCATCAAAACACTGATATTTACTGCTTTTCATAAAGAAATAAAATGATAAGATGAAACGTCAGTTCCTGGTCTCTGATTTTATAAAATAAATTTCCCCCAAAAAGTGCGACTTATGTATGTTTTTTTTCTTTTTGCATTTTTTTGGCTGGTGGGACTTATTCTCCGGTGCGACTTATAGTCCAGAAAATACGGTAATATTAAGTTGAGTTGAGTTAAGCATTTTGTTCTGGCTCTCCACAATATTTTCTGGAAAAAATAACAGCCCCACCTCTGCTACATTCGATAATATTTAATGCACATGGGGAGCAAGTAAAATTATTATGGTTAAAATGCAGATTTTTGTTGTAACACAGTGAGATTTGGGGTTTTGTCACTAATAAAAATGATCAGATTCAACATTTTTGAATTCACCTTGTGGTTATTTCACATCAAAGCACTAAAATCTGAAAAGTACCGATGCCAACTCATTAGTAAAGAGTGTTTTTTGCGACGCGCTGTTATTAAATTTAAAAAGAAAGGGCCACCAGAGGGCACAAAGACCCCGCCGCTGATGCACTGAAGAGTTTGCACTGATTTAGGTCAAGTAGCGCTAAAAAAAACAATAGCACCCGAAGCTCTGGAGTTGTTTTGGCTGCGGTGGAGAACACTCAAGCTCCGAAAATGATATAACATTACCTTTAACGACTCCAAACCTCCGGCAGAGTTTTGGTCAAGCAGCTCGGCCTCTCGATCGACACATTCACTCGTCACTCACGTCTTTACCTTCACCTTCTGCTCTACTGTTAGTTCAGCCTCGTCGCGGCGTCGGGGTGAGTCACGGTTCACATTTGTAGAGTTTTTACGAGAGGACGGAGGAGACACAGAGGAGAGAGAGGAAGGAGGAAGGACAGGGGCCGGTGTGTAGAAGAGAGGAGTGGGCGGGTGGAGGGTCAAAAAAAAGGGTCAATGTCAAACAGCTCTTACGTCTTGGTGAGCGAACGCGTATTGTCCAGGGATGGCGAAGGCCTGAGGAGCAAGAAGAGGAGAGTGATGAGAAAGACACGGCGGGTAAAACAGGTCAAAACGTCAACGGTGATGAGAAGAAACGGGGGGAATCGGTGGTTTGTCGTCGCGCGGGGGGGGGGGGGGGGGGGGGGGGTCTTCGTTTACGGAATCTCATTTTATGTGTTAGAGACGAAAAATTACAGAAAATTTATGTGTTTAGCAGCAAAAATCATCTCACAAAATCAGTTCTTTATGGTCAGATTGTGTCTAAACAAAGCTCTGATTAGTCCTGGTCCGGTCCTGGTCCGGTCCTGCTGTAGTCCTGGTTCAGTCTTTCTCTAGTTCTGCTCTAGTCCTGGTTTAGTCTCAGTCTAGTCCCAGTCTAGTCCCGGTTTAGTCCCAGTCTAGTCTCGGTCTAGTCCCGGTTGAATCCCAGTCTAGTCCCAGTCTAGTCTCGGTGTAGTCCCAGTTTAGTCCTGATTTAGTCCCAGTCTAGTCCCGGTTTAGTTCTGGTTTAGTCCTGGTCTAGTCCCGGTCTCGTCCTGGTTTAGTCCTGGTCTAGTCCCAGTCTAGTCCCAATCTAGTCCCAGTCTAGTCCCGGTTTAGTCCTGGTCTAGTCCCAGTCTAGTCCTGGTCTAGTCCTGGTTTAGTCCTGGTTTAGTCCTGGTCTAGTCCCGGTTTAGTCCTGGTCTAGTCCCGGTTTAGTCCTGGTCTAGTCCCGGTTTAGTCCTGGTTTAGTCCCAGTCTAGTCCCGGTTTAGTCCTGGTCTAGTCCCAGTCTAGTCCCGGTTTAGTCCTGGTCTAGTCCCAGTCTAGTCCCGGTTTAGTCCTGGTCTAGTCCCGGTTTAGTCCCGGTTTAGTCCTGGTCTAGTCCCGGTTTAGTCCTGGTCTAGTCCCGGTTTAGTCCTGGTTTAGTCCCAGTCTAGTCCCGGTTTAGTCCTGGTTTAGTCCTGGTCTAGTCCCGGTTTAGTCCCGGTTTAGTCCTGGTCTAGTCCCGGTTTAGTCCTGGTCTAGTCCCGGTTTAGTCCTGGTTTAGTCCCAGTCTAGTCCTGGTTTAGTCCTGGTCTAGTCCCAGCCCCATTGTCACTTGTTTAGGTAAAATACAGAAAATCTGCATAAAAACGACCAAAACACAAATAAAAAGTGAGTTTGTGAGTATTTTGACTCACACGGGCCGAGTGCAGAACAATTTTCCTTAATTACACTAGTTTTACAGTTTTATCATTATCAGCCACTCCACACCAGGAGTGTCCCAGTCTCTGATTGAAAATCTGGTCACCTCAGCAAACTCAGACTTTGTTTATTCTGCATAATTAAAAAGTGACAAAGTTGAAAAGTAAAAAGTACTTAAATCAGCACAACTCACAGTCACGAACATTTTACATTTAACTCATTTAGTTCTTAAAATCTACAGGGTTCCCACAGTCATGGAAATCCTGAAATCCTGGAAAGTCATGGAATTTCATTGAACTCCAGTGTTCTGTTAAGTTCTCATGAGGCTATTCTGATTATTTCTGAACGTCTGCGCCTTTTGTTTAAAAGAGACGACAATAAATAAATGCACTGACAGGATTCTGAATGTTCAAAAACTATAATCCCAAACCATAAATTGAGTGGAAAGATTTAACATTTCATATTTAGGCCTAAAAGTCTGATCAATTCTACACATGTTGGTGCCGTAAAGTCATAGAAAATTCACTTTAGGTCATGAAAAAGTCATGGAAAAGTTTTGAAATTTTATCCGTGAAAAAAAAGTGGGAAACCCTGTGTACTGTAAAAAAAAACAAAAAACTACCTATTAAAATAACTGGAGGATGTTGCTGTTTGTATTGACACTCACTGGTGGATTTGTATGTAAGAGTGTATGTGATCACAAACTGCTCATGTTCGTCTGACAGGGACCTACAACTTTCAAAAATGTCAGGATTTCGTGGCGATTTTTACCTATTTTTATATCATAAACTTTTTCTCAGCTCAAAATCCTTCAGTTGTCTTAAAAAACGCTTTATAACCGTTCGCTCTGCTCCAAAGTCCATCTGTGACATGTTAGTGTCATATGAACATCTCACACTCTGAGGAGCTCAGGGACCAACTCCTGCTGTGGCCAGAGTCACGACTAAACAAGGGGAGTCAGAGTTTCAGGTTCATGCAGCTAAAACCTGGAACAGTCTGAACATGTGAGACAGACTCTTCTGTGACGCTGTTTAAATCCAGACTCTAAACATTTCTGTTTAACTGTGCAAATAACTGAAAGGTTTTCATTCCGCACTCTTCTCTCCAATTTATGTCTCTCTTTTTTAATTTTAATCTTCATGATTATTTATGTTTTGATTTGTTTTTATTATGATTTTAATGTATTTCTTATTCTGTAAAGCACTTTGAATTACTTTGTGTACGAATTGTGCTGTACAAATAAACTTGCCTTGCCTCCTCTCGCTCTGATTGGTCAAAGAGATCACGTGACACACAGACCGCGCTCCGTGTGTGCGTTTGCTTTGGCATGTGCCCGTGGGAGAAAAGCAGCCAAGCCTCAGTTTCATTTCTCTCCAGTGTCTATGTCTGGAATCAGAACTCACTAGACCAGGGGTGTCCAAACTTTATTCATCTAAACCACAAATCTAAACACAGATGAAGCAGAGGCAGAGAGGGCCACAGACTGGAGCTCAGTACAATGAATATTTGAAATATGTGCATGTTTAACACAGGTGTCAAACATAAGGCCCGGGGGCTGGATGCGGCCCTCCAAGACCTTTAATCTGGCCCTCGGCTTATTTCTACTAAAATATTTTAATTATATTTTTGATTTAAATATTGTTAATTTTCTGCGGCGCTGAGCATTAGCAGCGTCTCCAGCGTCTCTGTACGTGGCCCCTCCCACCAGAGCAGCACAAATGAAGACTTGTCTCTTTCCAAACGCTCTTAAAGGACGATCGTTTTGACTGTTGACCGTGACACCCTCATCAGAAAAATGTCCAACATGAGAAAAGTGGAGCCGAGTGCAGGATTTTACAACAAAAATTTACTTATTCCTGTTTACAGACAAGTTCATGTTAAACATTGTGTTGAAATGGAATTTTTCTTAAAGTTTCAGGTTGTTCATAATAATATAATATTTTGTAAAAGAAAGAGTTCATCAATTAAAAAAGATTTCTGTAATAGATTTGTGTTTCTCTGCACAAATATTGTTATTTTTGGGGTTTATATGACATGAGTTTTCTGATCCGGACACTCTGAGATCAAAGTCGGTTGGACACGACCCCCAGAACAAAATGAGTTTGACACTCCTGGATTAGAATGATCCATCAGTCTTTATTTATGCTAAGATCCTTAAAACCCACACTAAATATTGAATATTTGCTTTATAAAAGGTAGATTTTTAAAAAAAACTTGCAGTAAAAAGTTTATTTTTAATTCATGCAAGGTCATTTGGGCCAATTCACCTGGAAAGCCTGAGGGCCACGAAAAATTTGTCTGAGGGCCGCATTTAGCCCACGGGACATAGTTTGGACATGCCTGCACTAGACGGTTTGTAAGAACCCTGGAAGTTGTAGACGCACACCGACCAATCAGAGAAGAGCTGTGAAGTCATGACGTCAAACTCGTGGCGTTTGTCTGGGTCCATTTTGTGGAACAACACAACAGTAAACAAAACGTCGAGATGGACGTAGACGAAGACAGACATTCTGTGTTGGCGACGATTCCCGAGATCGAGGATTTAAAGCCAAAACAAAGAGAATGTTTGGTGAATTTTATCAAGGGGAAAGACGTTATTGTCCTTCTTCCTACGGGATTTGGAGCGTTACATACTGTATTTTCCGCACTATTAGTCGCTCTGGATTATAAGACACACTGTCATTAAATGGTCTATTTTTTAAACTTTTTCCACAAATAAACGGCGTGGGACTTTAAAGGAAACCCAACAGTGTGATGGGTGAGTGGTTTTGTTTGTTTGTTCGTTCACGGTGACTCTGGGCTTTGTTCAGTTGTGGCGTGTAGGGAGGGTGTGTCTGGGACCAACGGATTGTCGGCGTGTTCGCAGTGACTCAGTTGTTCAGTCGTGTCTAGAAGCGGCACGTCGCGCTCATCGCTTTTTCGGTTCGTTCCTCTGTTCCGTTCCTCGTCGGCGTGGAGTGATGAGTGTGTCTGTGGGTGTGTTTCGCTGTGCGGTCGCTGTCTGCTCCGTGTGTGTTTGTGGCTTTGTAATTTACTGAAGTCGTACTGGGACACCCGACTGGATTCGTGTACGGTCATTTTTTGATGCGGTTGGAGGATTAAGAGTGCGTCTGATGGCCCGGAAAATACGGTAAATTAAAAAGTACCCGCCTACTGTCGAGCGAACGAATCCTAATGCTGCGAGGTCACACGGTTTCCACAAAATGAAACCGACGGATGAACCAGGCTTGGAGAAAAGACACTACCGCACATCGTCCCAGAGTCATCGGACGTACCTCGGCTAAAGGCGAATCTGGAGTCATGAGTAAACCGTGTATCATTCGTTCATTTCGTTTTTCAATATGAAACCAAAAATAAGAAAACGAAAAAACAGTTTTCTTCACTATTTGTTTCCAAAACCAAAATGAAAAAACAGATAACGATTCGTTTTTTCAGTTTTCGATTTTGTGTTTAAATGAAGAATGGAAAAAACGGATAACGACTGTTTCCCGTTTAACGTGACGTCCGTGACTGCGATGCCGAACATTTGCACCGCATACAGACTGAACCAGGACTGATCCAGGTCCGAGACCAGACCGGGACCAGAGCGGGACTGAGACCGGGACAGACCGGGACAGACCGGGACCAGAGCGGGACCAGGGTGGGACCAGGGTGGACTCCGAGCTTTGACTCCGAGGCTCCGCGGGGTCCGAGCCTCAGCTTCAAGCTCCGGCCCTGCTGTGGGCTCTGAGCCTCCGGTCTGGTCCTGGTCTTGTCTCGGTCTCAGTAGCGCTCTATTCCCAGTCTGATCCTGGACCTGGTCCATTTGAACCAAAAGCTCTTAGTTCGGTTCGTTTTTGTTGGTGTGAAAGTGTCAGTTTGATGCCTTGCACCACCTCGGAACCAGCCGTGGTTCTTGAATGTGGAGGACTGGATCAGCCCGTCCGGACCTGTAGTCCACAGAACATTCTCACTTTCCCCTCATGGAACCAGCGCGCAGACGATGACACGGAACCACTCGGACCGCTGGTCTCGGTCTCAGTTCCGATCTGGTCCTGCTCTGGTCTCGGACCTGGATTAGTCCTGGTTCAGTCTGTATGCAGTGCAAAAGTCCAGCATCGCAGTCACTGAAGTCACATAAACGGGAAACGGTCGTTATCCGTTTTTTTCATTCTTCATTTAAACACAAAATCGAAAACTGAAAAAACGAATCGTTATCTGTTTTTTTAAATTTTGGTTTTGGAGAGAAATAACAAAGAAAACTGTTGTTTTTTCATTTTCTTATTTTTGGTTTTATATTGAAAAATGAATGAACGAATGATACACGGATTATGAGTTCAACCCTTTCACTTGGGCAGACTGATGTCGGTATCGGCGAGTATAACAAGGCTAAATGTCAGACCAGATCCCTAAAAAATAGTACCGAAACAACACTAGTTTAAACCGATGACAGACTCTATGTTTCTCTGTAATTCATGGTGACAAAGCGTTTACATTTACATCGACTGCACTGTTCGCTTTTTCTGAACCCAGTTGACCTTTTCCTTGTTCTCAAAGACAGTGTTTTAAGCGCAGAGCGAGCGGCAGATGTAAACACGTGTTTGGATTGGCTGTGGTCTTATCAGTCGTCTCTGGTGTGGTTCCCCCCCTCCTCCCTCCTCCCTCCGCCTCCTCAGCCTCAGACCCTGGGCTCATCTCTCATCTCCCATGCACCGATCTCAACCGCTCCAAATGTCATCAGCTCTCCTCCGCCTTTTCAACCGCAAATCCAATAACACAAACAGCTGTGGGGAGGCCGGCCGCAAACATTATCAGCTTACAAATAAAGTAAAGTTCAGTCAAGATTTTTTTTCATCATAGTTTCAGTTTGAGTTAGTTTCGGTGATTTTTGTGAGATGAAATGACTTTGAGCGAAGATTAATATGACAGTAATTACAAATAATAATGAGAAGGTTCAACATTTGGAGATCGGAAGTTTAAAGATTTCTGTCAAAAACTAGAATTTTCCCACAGAAAGGCTCCTGTAATCTGTGTATCGTTCGTTCATTTGTTTTTCAAAATAAAATAAAAAAAATTTAAAATGAAAAAACAACAGTTTTCTCCAAACCAAAATGAAAAAACGGATAAAGATTCGTTTGCTGGACTGAACCAGGACTAAACCATTTTCAGTCCCGGTCTGGTACCAGTCTAGTCCTGGTCTGGTCCCGACCTCAGTCCTGGTCTCAGTCTGGTCTCAGTTCTGGTCTGGTCCTGGTCTCAGGCCCGGGCTCAGTCCTGGACTCAGTCTTGGTCTGGTCCCGGTCTTTAGTCCTAGTCTGGTACCGGTCTTTAGTCCCGGTTAATCCGTGTATCATTCGTTCATTCGTTTTTCAATATAAAACCAAAAATAAGAAAACGAAAAAACAACAGTTTTCTTCGTTATTTGTCTCCAAAACCAAAATGAAAAAACGGATAACGATTTGTTTTTTCAGTTTTCAATTTTGTGTTTAAATGAAGAATGGAAAAAACGGATAACGGCCGTTTCCCGTTTACGTGACTGCCGTGACTGCGATGCCGGACTTTTGCACCGCATACGGACTGAACCGGGACCAGACCGAGACCAGAGCGGGACTGAGACCGGGACCAGACCGGGACCAGAGCGGGACCGAGACCGGGACTGAGTCTCAGTAGCGCTCTGGTCCCGGTCTGGTCCCGGACCTGGTCCATCTGAACCAAAAGCTCTTAGTTCGGTTCGTTTTCGTTGGGGTGAAAGCGTCAGTCGGAGGCTTTGCTCCACCTCGGAACCAGCCGCGGTTCTTGAGCGCGGAGGACCAGAGCAGCTCTGTCTGGTCTCGGACCTGGATCCATCCTGATTCAGTCCGTATGCGGTGAGACTGGGACCAGACCGGGACCAGACCGGAGGCTCAGAGCCCACGGCAGGGCCGGAGCTCGAAGCTGAGGCTCGGACCCCGTGGAGGCTCGGAGTCAAAGCTCGGAGTCCGGTCTGGTCCCGGTCTGGTCCCGGTCTCAGTCCCGGTCTCAGTCCCGCTCTGGTCCCGGTCTGGTCCCGGTCTCAGTCCCGCTCTGGTCTCGGACCTGGATCAGTCCCGGTTGCGTCCGTATGCGGTGCAAAAGTCCGGCATCGCAGTCACGGAAGTCACGTAAACGGGAAACGGCCGTTATCCGTTTTTTCCATTCTTCATTTAAACACAAAATCGAAAACTGAAAAAACGAATCGTTATCCGTTTTTTCATTTTGGTTTTGGAGACAAATAACGAAGAAAACTGTTGTTTTTTCGTTTTCTTATTTTTGGTTTTATATTGAAAAACGAATGAACGAATGATACACGGATTCCGGTTTGGTATCAGTCTGGTCCTTGTCTGGTTTCGGTCTAGTCCCAGTTTCAATCATAGCATGGTCCTGGTCTGGTCCCGATCTCAGTCCTGGTCTCAGTCCTGGTCTCAGTCTTGGTCTGGTCCCGGTCTCAGTCCCGGTCTCAGTTCTGGTCTGGTCCTGATCTCAGTCCTGGTCTCAGTTCTGGGCTCAGTCTTGGTCTTGTCCAGGTCTAAGTCCTGATGTCATTTCCGGTCTGGCTCCAATCTGGTTCAGTCCTGGTTCAGTCCTGGTTCAGTCCTGGTTCAGTCCTGGTTCAGTCCTGGTTCGGTCCTGGTTCAGTCCTGGTTCAGTCCTGGTTCAGTCCGGCATCGCAGTTTAAGTCACGTAAACTTGTTATCTTTTTTTTTTTTCATTTTTCATTTAAACACAAAATCTAAAACTGAAAAAATGCATCGTTATCTGTTTTTTCATTTTGTTTTTGGAGACAAATAATGAAGTAAATTGTCGTTTTTATGTTTTCTTATTTTTGATTTTATATTGAAAAACAAAGGAACGAATGACACACGGATTTCCTGCCCTCCATCTGAAATTACACTCCATTATAGGAGAATTTGCCCGATTTAGGCTGAGATTCACTTCTCTTCGAGTTCAGGGAGACGTGATCCAGGGTTCCCACGGTCATGGAAATCCTGGAAAAGTCATGGGATTATGTAAACTCAATGTAAGTTTTAGAAAAATCATGTTATTTTAGTATCTCTTTCATGCAACTACATCGTTCTGTTAAATTCTCATTAGACTATTCTGATTATTTCTGAACGTCTGCGCCTTTTGTTTAAAAAAGGCTACAATAAATGCACTGACAGGATTTTAAATGTTAAAAAACTATAATCCCAAACCATAAGGTGAGTGGAAAGAGTTAACATTTCAAATTTAGCCCTAAAAGTTTGATCAGTTCTGCTGTAAAGTCATGTTTGGTTGAAGATTTGATGTTAACCGGAGGTTCCGTAAACCTGCAGCGCGGCACTTCCGACCGAGGTCTAATTGAATGTGGATATCGTTGGTGTTTTACGGAAGCCGAGAGGGTCACAACAAACGCAAACGCCGCAGCAAATACAAATGCGACAACACAACGAAAAGCCACAACACACCAAAAAAAGCCACAAAGGAAATGACCGCGGGACTCTATTTTAATGCAAACGCCGCAACAAATACAAACGACACAACACAAACGCAAAAGCCACAACACATTAAAAAGCCACAACACATTAAAAAGCCACAACGCACCAAAAAAAGCCACAACACACCAAAAAAAGCCACAACGGAAGTGACCGAGAGACTCTATTTTCCGACGGACCGATCAAGCGGCAAGTGAAGAAGAAGAACTACAACGTGAAAAGTAAAGGAACGGAGAAGTTGGAAACGTAAATAAAAGTAATTAACTGTTTTATCATTATTCGTTTCACATTGTAGTTCTTCTTCTTCACTTGCCGCTTGATCGGTCCGTCGGAAAATAGAGTCTCGCGGTCACTTCCGTTGTGGCTTTTTTTGGTGTTGTGGCTTTTTAATGTGTTGTGGCATTTGCGTTTGTGTTGTGTTGTTTGTATTTGTGCGGCGTGTAGTGTTTACTCGTCCCACTGTAAGTTCACTAGAGGCAATTTAACCATTTCCAAGTTTGGTGAGATTTCTCTGTTTCTACTCACCTGAGCGGCGTGCTGCGGGGCGAGCACGGCGTGCGCTCCGGCGGACATCGCTTTGGGCCTGTACGGGATGGTGGCACCTTTTGGAGGAGACTGTGAAGAAAAAAAAAAACACAAAAATCTGTCACGATTATTACGATATCAACTTTACTTTAAGGCTGGACGACTGGGAAAAAGATCTCATCACTGTTTAATTGTTCATATACTGTAAAATACCCAGTGTCGGGAAGGTGACTTTTAAAATGTAATCCCCTACAGATTACAGATTACACACACCAAAATGTAGTTTGTAACGGAATGCATTAAATTACTTGAAGTGAGTAATGTAATCTGAATACTTTGGATTACTTGATTTGCTGTAGAGAAGCAAAGACGAGGAAATCTTCACATAAGAAGTTTTGTCTGATAAAAGAAAATAAAAAGTCCAGACTTTACTGAACCAAATAATAATAAATATTATTGATAGAAGAAGAAGAGACACGTCTGTGCAGTTCTGTTTTAGTCCAGTCTTTGTTTAGTCCTGGTTTAGATCTAGATTAGACCTGGTTTTAGACCTGGTTTAGTCCTGTTTTAAGTCCTGGTTTAGACCTGGTTTAGACCTGGTTTAGCCTGGTTTAGACCTGGTTTAGTCCTTGTTTAGTCCTGGTTTAGATCTGGTTTAGGCCTGGTTTTAGACCTGGTTTAGTCCTGTTTTAATCCTGATTTAGACCTGGTTTAGTACTGGTTTAGACCTGGTTTAGATCTAGTTTAGCTCTAGTTTAGACCTGGTTTTAGTCCTGGTTTAGTCCTGGTTTAGACCTGGTTTAGATCTAGTTTAGACCTGGTTAAGTTTTCAGCAATGAGTGGAATTACTGAAAAAAAAAAAAAAAAAAGGGGGGGATCTAGCCCCAAATGTGAAAACAGTTAAAATCCCTCTGTGTAATCCACTTATTTCAACAAAGTAACTGTAATCCAATTACCACTCACTGAAACAGTAACTGTAACTGAATACAGTTACTCATCATTTGTACTCTGATTACATAACTCTGGTACATGTAATCTGTTACTCCCCAACACTGAAAATACCAAATAATCACGGCGTTTCTATTAACCACTGGGTCACCTTTAAACGCCGAGTCTAACGTCGTCTAGTCCAGCTGCCGAGGAGCTGCTCAAACTCCCATGTCCCGTTTTTTGTGCTTTATTTAACCAAGATGTGATGATTAGTGCAGCGACACCACAGAGAGTCTGACGTTTACAGCGGCACAGGAGCAGTTTGACTTCAGGTCAGTCCTGCCCACACCAGTCTGGTCGTGTGACTGAATGGACAGGCTCTGTAGACGCATCAAGAGTCTCGGACTTCCGGTCATCGCGCAATCCACACTGGGAAGGATTTTCCAAAAAAGTGAGCATCAAACCACCGTGTTTGTTTTCCCAGTGGGATGTGTCTATTGTCAAAGTCGATCTTTTCAAGTCTTTTGAACCATATCACTTTTGTTTCTGGTTCTGATATTGTCATATTTTAGTTTTGGGATTCGGACATCGTAGTTGTGTGGTTGTTGGATCCTAACAGCGGAAAACGGGCTTTGGAAGTTTGTGAAATCCATAAATGCAAAAGTGAATCAGATGTGTGTGACTCAAACCTCCGTTCAAACTGTTTCTCTTCCCAACGGAATTGAAAAATAGTGAAAGGTGAAGGTGATGGGCAGGATTGATCCACAGGAAGAACCAAAAAGGAAACATTTGACTGCCTAAAGTCAGGCGTACACTGTGCGATTTTTGACCCTTTTTGAGCCGATTTTTCACTCGTGCGACTGTTTTGGGGATCAGGCCGAGTTTTGGCTTCATCGTGTGTCGTGCTTCGTGTAGTTAACATGGGGTAAATAAAATCTATACCTCACGACCAGCTCCAGATCGGCATTCGTAGGTCGCAAGAAAATCAGACTTGTTTTAAATCCAGTCGCCTCTCGTGAGGATTTCGCTCTGTTGAAGTCGTTCCACGAGCCAGAATCTGTCAGACTGAGCATGTGCGGACACAGAAGCGGAAGCAGGATATGAGGTTGTGGAGGACGATGGCGTCGGTGACTGTTTTGGACACAGGACATGGAGACGCAGCTGATCCAGCAACACAGAACACAACGTTTGGTGAAAAACTTGATGCTGCTTATCTCCAGTTCCTTCTGAAGAACTGACAACCTGCACTGCCCACGTCTGCCCACGTCTGCCCACGCCTGCCCACGCCTGCCCTCGTTTTCCCAGCCATTTCTTTGACCAGATTCGTCACCTCTTCTTTTTGGGTTTGTCTGTGCAGAGAATGGCACAAATTGCCAAGGCAGCGCGTCTGTTTTTTGCCTGGATCATTGTGTCTGTGGTTTTCTAATTCCGTGATTTTCTTCTTCTGGAACAGCAACTCCGGTCGTTATGTGAACATACAGTGTGCACAGGCAGGTCGCATCCGAGTGTCGGTTCGTTCAGTGTGAGAACATGATTCATGAGCTGTGAACTTTTAAACCCTGCGATTTGGTCGTACAGTTTAAACTGGGGCTGAGTGACACGACCGAAAATATCGCACAGTGTACAACCGGGATAAGAAATCATCCCGAATCTGCAGCAAACATTTTGTACATGGAGCGCCATCAAAGCAAAATCCCGATCCCTCGCTCAACCTTATTACGAATTTAAAAAGTCAACGCCAAAGTGAAAGGCACCAGTTCACCAAGAAACACCTTCCACTGCAAAGAGACCAAGACGGCCAAGACGTTGGTCACTAAATTACTTCTGGACAGGAAACTTCAAGAGAAATTCATTGAGCGATTCTGTAAAAAAAGCATGATTTCTAGAGTAAGGAGGAGGCGGGAGGAGGCGAGAGGAGGCGAGAGGAGGCGGGAGGAGGCGGAGAGGAGGCGGGAGGAGGCGAGAGGAGGCGAGAGGAGGCGGAGGAGGCGAGAGGAGGCGAGAGGAGGCGAGAGGAGGCGGGAGGAGGCGGAGGAGGCGGGAGGAGGCGGAGGAGGCGGGAGGAGGCGAGAGGAGGCGAGAGGAGGGAGGAGGCGGGAGGGCGGGAGGAGAGGGGAGGCGGGAGGAGGCGGGAGGAGGAGGGAGGAGGCGGGAGGAGGCGGGAGGAGGCGAGAGAGGCGGGAGGAGGCGGAGAGAGGAGGCGAGGGGGCGGGAGGAGGAGGGAGGAGGAGGGAGAGCGGAGGAGGCGGGAGGAGGCGGAGGAGGCGGGAGGAGAGAGCGCGGAGGAGAGGAGGCGAGGAGGCGGGAGGAGGCGAGGACGGAGGAGGCGGAGAGGAGGCGGGAGGAGGAGAGAGGAGGAGAGGAGGCGAGAGGAGGCGGAGGGAGGCGAGAGGAGGCGAGAGGAGGCGGGAGGAGGCGAGGGAGAGAGGAGGCGAGGAGGAGGCGGAGAGGAGGCGAGGGCGGAGAGGAGGAGGCGGAGAGGAGGCGGGAGGAGGAGGCGAGAGAGGAGGCGGGAGGAGGGAGGGAGGCGAGAGGAGGCGGGAGGAGGCGGGAGGAGGCGAGAGGAGGCGAGAGGAGGCGGAGGAGAGGCGGGAGGAGGCGGGGAGGCGAGAGGAGGCGGGGAGGAGGCGAGGCGGAGGAGGCGAGAGGAGGGGGAGAGGCGGAGAGGAGCGGGAGGAGGCGTTTCTACTCAGGGAGCTGTGGAGGAGGAGTTTAAAAAAGGACAAACAATCGCTGTGTTTCTCTTTCCTTTGTACAACCTTTAAAGTCAATTTATCTGATTTTCTGTGTATTTGAGTAAATCTTTTCTGTTCTACGAGAAGCTCTTGAGGTCAAAATAAATGTGCCGCATAATGTCTGCATCTAATTATAAAGCGTTTTATGATGAATTGGATTGTGGGTATCTTAAGGAGACACTGTTACTGATGAAATGTTGTTGTCAGAGTCGGTTTAATGTATATAATTTCTTTAAAGTGTTTTGTATCTGCTCGAGGACTGCAGATGGAAAGATGCTTAAAGCTAAATCTGGCACCGAGCATCTTTTCTCTCTTAATGTTTTCTGTGCACCGTCTTTGTTTGAAATAAATAAATAATTTGTTGCCGACTATCAGGAGGTGCACTTTTAGATTAGGTTAGGCGACTTTATTCATACACTTAAAGGTTGTATGGAGGATTTTTTTTGTTTCAAATTGTCAATGATAGATTATAGATGCAGTCGCCTTGTAATTATGATGACCAAAAAAAAGAGAATAAAAATTCATCAACTCTGGACGTGGTGGGGCTAAACATTTGCCAATAGATAACGACAACTGCCTCGTTATCTGTGAGCTGACAGGCTGTCAATCAAACTCCCTACGTTTTCTAGTGTAACTGACTTGCCTGCGCCGCCGGTACGTGGTTTACGTACGACTGTCACGCAGTCCACAGACGCAAGACGCACAGACGCTGTTTACTCCACCAACGCAACAGTTCTTAGCAGCTTTTTTTGACCTATATCTTCCTCGCAGTTCGCACAAAGTTTGTTGCGATGGCGACAAGAATCCAGGAGCAGTTCGCCGCAAAAGAAAGTCCGTTTTTGAGGTCGCTGAAAGAAGAAGACAAGGGAAAAGCAGCGAAGCCAAACTAAGGTGATTCTTGAAGATTCATTCCAGCGATGGCGCGACTGAAGCAGACGAAGGGTCTAAAGACTGAAGCACTGGTCCACAAATTACTCCTGGACAGGAAACTTCTGCTTATTATGAAAACGTACTTTATTTCCAAGAGTTAGACAAACGTTTTTCAGGACACGAAAGCGATATCCTGTGTCTGAAAACGTAATTTTCAAGGCAAAGAAAAGAGTCCACTTGTTGCTGCGTGTTGTAGCTAGTTCATTTGCACTGAATCTCCGCGCACTCTTCTCTGCTCCTGTCCCCGCTGCCGTTCCGCTCTTCTCCCTGCTCCTCACTTCTCGTCCGCGCACAAAATGTCCGCACACACCCCCTCCCCCGCTCCTCACTTCTCCGTCTTGCCTAACCAACACTGTAGTTAGTTGTTTACAAGTCATGTGCAGCACCGGCTGTAAACAAACCTGTTTCTGGCGTAAGGAGGAGGCGGAGGAGGTGTTTCTACGTAGGAGCTGTGGGGGAGGGGAGGTGGTTTCACGCATGCGCAACATTTGAAAA